GCTCCATTGGGTAATACTCCCATGGCGTCCTGAGGGAAACATCTAATTTCGGCGTGGCAGTCAAAGGGTTAACCCAGCCCTCTTTTCTCCTCCTCTAACGTTTTGGAAATCGTCGAGTCGCAGAATCCGTGGGAACGGGATAATATCAATGAGAAACGAACTCGTTGACCGACGCGTGTCGTCGATGAGCGACGTCTACTCTCATTAGCGCGCGTCCCGACGCCAAACACCGAGACTGGCGATTTCACCCGTCCATTTCATTCCGTATTTAACGCATTTAGCGTGAAAAACTTTTGCGTCGAATATTTTCCGAAATATTAACACGACGACCACTTAGCCGCAGGCGGAATTTGGCAAATTCGCGGGCCAATGAAATTAAGCGATATTCTCCCGGGGAAAAGGCGGTCGAAAGTTTTACAAGTCGCCGCATTTCGAGGGTTCCCCCGTTTATGACTTTTAGTTTAGAGAAGGCTGCCGGCTAAATGTGGAATGCTCAGAGCGTGGAAAAAGTTTCGGTGTCATCGACGAGCACGCACTCTGAGCCCGCGCACGGAACGCATAGAGCGAGCAACCGTGGAAAAATTCGAAAGCTCGGTGTCCCTTTTTCAATATTTTTATTCGCTTCGAGTTTATTCCCGCGAGTAAAATTGCGCTAAAATTACTAACCGGAAATTGAACACTGGTAAACGATAACTGGCAGTTGAGAGAGAGCGAAATTTCAGGTCCACAAATTTAATTCGATTCTAACAGGATGTCTAATGAAATGTACGGATCTTGTCGAGGTTCAACGACCTCCTTGATGAATAATTTTCTTCGTATCTTTTCTGAGCAAGTTATTATTGAACCAGCACGAATATAGCTTCTTGTTAAGATGGTAACTGCAAATCGCTATCTGTGTGTTGGAAGTTTGTGTATCTAGACAGGTATGACATCTAGTGGACTGTTGGCATTTTGTCTTATGTTTTTTCCTGACTCAGTCTAATGTAACTGCAGAGACCAGAGAACCGTTGTACCGCTAATACGTGCTTTGTAATAAAGAATTATAAAATGTAGGGTTGCGAACAGTGAAGGACTCTAGCAAGGGAATAATAACCAGCGACATCGGCTTCGACTTATGCGTTTAGGACGATGCCTGGACTGCGTGCGAACGGATGAGATATTTATGACTGGGTCAAGTGATTGAGAGAGAAAGCCTGTGTATGAAAAGAGTTTTAACTTTAAGTAAGGGTGCAAGGGTGCGGATGAAGCAAATTGTGTGTAGTCGAGACGTAGTGAATAGAGGATCGTGTATTTGAGAGTTAGAATTGAGAAGAACTTGGTGTAATATGTTATGTGTGTAATAAAATTAAATAAACCTGTTTTGTTATTAAAAAGGAGTTGTTTATTAGACACGCAGATCTCGGTCTCCATAGGATTAATCTAGCTAGAAATCCTACAAAAGTAATACCACTACGCGTGATTTATTAACACGTTGAATGCCACGCCAGTTTTATAGGGATTGCCCCGATGAATTTTCTATTATGCGATATATATAATGTTGAAATGTTATCTGCAACAGATAAGTTACAATGTATAATCATGTTTGACATGTTAATTGCGACGAGGATCGCCATTGAATTAACGATGGTAATAATACAAATTTATAAATATTGACATTTGTTTAAATTATATATATTTCTATCAATCTGGGGGTGCCGGTCACCGGTGGCCCCCGTGGCATTCAATGTGTTAATTAACACAGATATTTAGAATTTGATTAAATGGCGACTGAGAGTCTCTTCTCGAATGCAAAGGGTTAATTCATATCGTAGAGCATACGAAGAAATTGTTGTCGTAATGGTTACATAGATTTTTGAATATATATGAATTGATATAATAAAGGAGCAATGTTTGAAAGAAAGGGATAAGTGGGACAAGTATGCATGGGATGCCAATATCTAATGAATTCAGGTTATTGTGATAAATGATTATGCATGTAATGATTGAGATGTATGTGAATTGTGAATTGTGTATGTCGTGTAATGTATGGAAGTAGAAAGAACAAACCAGAGAGATTAGACATAGGTCGGTTGTAATTGAGTTGAAATAACACTCCTCCTAGTCTTCGAAATTTCTTCGTCAACCTGATCCTCGTCCGCCATTTTAATGCGCTTCCTTGACGAACGTCCATTAACCGGAAGTAAAATTCGAAATCGAGTTTGAATTTCGCCCCGCTTCCTACCACGAACTTTTAGCTCGGACCCTCACCCTCTTCGAGAGATCTTCGATCGATTCGAAAACTGGGAGAAGGCGAGGTTTCCAACGCGATGGATTCCTAGAACTCGTTATCGCGATTAGCTTATCGAACTTGCTACCAAAAACGCGATTTCGAAATAAATAAACAAACCCCAGCCGCTTATCGCGAGCGGATTAAATTTTCGAGCAGGCAGGCCCGATTGTCATAAATTTTTATCGCGAGAATCAGTTTAGAAGCACCGTCCCTATGAGTACGAACGATTCTTCTCTGTCAGAGAGGGAGGACTTATGGCGTTTCGTAACGAAAGTCGAATGAAATCGTAGGAACGAGTGGACGTAAAGCGGCGATACCGATCCTCACCTGCCGGAAGCAGTACCAGTTTTCACTCTGGGAAAATGTATTTTCCGGAGGAACGCAACGGGGAACCGATTGTTTCGTTGGATTAGACGCTACCAGCTGGTACCCTAGCTATAAAGCGTAATTCGCGGGACAGGTTGAGTGTGGCGCCGATTTTGCTATAATTTCTGCTCAGACGGCAGCGAGTGAACACTTGATGCCGAGCGCTCAAGAACGCTGAAGAGTACGAACAGAAGATTACTTTATTTCACTTTGTCGTTTGGACCGCGAGAGTAGTGCAGCCAGTGCACAAATATACAAATTCTAAACAGAAGATAATGGGGTGGGGAATGCTAGAAGGGCAAAAAGACGATCACCGAGAGACGATCAGTCAGAAAAAGTCACGAAAGTGTAAAGATTTACTTGAGCAGAGGGAATTTAGTTTTTACAATATATTAATTGTCAATAATGTGGGCAACTTTCACCGCTGCCCATTGTTTCCCGGCGAGAGAAAGCTCTTCGTTGGAATTCTAGGAATTAGGGAGAAGGCCCAAGGACAACAGCCACAGATGGGGATGCTAGACGCCAAGCTCGGACGTCTGGACTGGAGCTCAGCGGAAGAGGCTACGGACACGCGAAGACAAGGCGACGGAGAGGGGACACACCCTATAAAACAACGAGGGATGTGTTTTTGGGGCACTATTCGGCCCGCATACGTAGAATAAAGAAGCTACTCAGAAGCAAAGAGCATAGCTTCACTGAAATCCTTTCCTACAATAATTTAACGCCTGGCAATGCCGATCTCACGCACCGATGTCGACCAAACGAAAAGTTCGCTGTCAGTCCCTAGAATCCACGCCGTCCAAACGAAGAGTCTACTGTCAGTCTCTAGGGACTCACGTAGCACTCAACGTGTTAACTCCATGGAGCATCTAACCGCGGCGCGTATAAATTAGGAAAATGAGGATCGATAGCGTGGAGCTGAAGTATAACCGTTCGATGGTCGTACTGTGGCTGTTGGCTTAGTACCGCTGTACTATTGCTATAACTATAGGAAAGTCGGCGAGCTTCGTTAATCCCATTTCCGCTAGATCTTGCCTCGCCGGTGCAAACGGCTTATCCAACGGACAAGTGGAAAAATTAGCGGGATGAGGAGGGTGGAAATCGATGTAGGAGTAGCAGCGCGATTAAATTATTGCGTTGCTATAATTGAGATTGCTGCAATCGAATTCGACATCGAGTGCCACTTACGTTCCACGTGCTCCGCTCCGTGTTTTAATTGCTTTCCGTAGAGATCGCGCGCGGCGCACGAATTTTCCCTCCGTTCTCGATTAATCGCCCTGCCTCACGGAGGATGGAAATATCGACGGATCCGAAGGGTCACGCGTCGTCGAAGGAAAGGCGAAAAATTGCACGCGCGTTGTAACGCGATTGATTATGAACCGGGAGGCGGGAAGGAGGAAGCCGGATCGAGGTGTCGGCTGGATAAGTCGAAGCCGAAGCGGAGTGACGGACGGAACGGGCATATCGCGCAGTTCGCTCGCCATTGTTCTCGTTCTAGGTCGGATTCAACGCAATTCGATGGGAACGAAAGGATGGAAGAATACTAATCGCGAAAATGGGGAACCCGTGATAGAGCCGGTGTTCCAGGAACGCGTTCGATTATCGGCCCTCGAAATTCCTAAATCACGAACCGTGCACTCGTGCGGACGAGCATTCTATCGGTGAAACGTTACAACTGGGTGCGCTTAAAATTTTTCATCCTAATACTTTTCGCAATCGAGATACCATCGGAACGTTAGGCTTTCCGAATTTCCCAATTTGCAAATATTTCTCGCGGTTCAATTTTCGGACGTTCGATTTTCAAATTTCGAAATTATTTCTGTTTGTTGTAGTATAAATTAAGTACTAAAATAAACTCTACATCCTAGCTATGTGGAGGCGATACCTTCCCCTGCGTTTTGTCTTTTGTCTCCCATTTTTTGGAGACGTCTTTTGGCCTGCGTGGCCCTAAACAGATAGGTCAGTTCTAACCGTTCGCCCTTTTAACCCTTTGCATTCTCAGTCGCCATTTAATCAGATTCTAAAGATGACTGACAATTAATATATCAAATTTAAAATTACCTAACGATTCGTGGAACGTCGAAGTAAAATAATTGGACGTCTTAATTTGCATATGATTTCTTATTCGCCATTTTTAAAATATGGCCGACTTTATGACAGAAAATTACTATTTTTCTGTAACGAAAAAATCGTCGAGTACAAAGGGTTAATAAACATCTATATAATTTGTCCACCGTTTCCACTGGCTACTATTTCTTTGCATTATAACCTCTTAACGCTATTAGGCACGTCGGATGTAAGATGAGAAGGTTGAAGATAATCGCATGCAGGATTGCGAGGTGTATTTTTAGTAGCGACTAATTACCTGCTACTGTTGACGGAAGTGTTGCTCCTGCTGCGTCTCGAGATGATCGAATCGCCGCAATTAACAACGCCTCTGTGAGTTATGCTGAATGCTCTCAGTCTATAGAGGTCCTCGCCGGCTCTCGGGTTATATGCCTTCTCCGGTAAACTATGTACGCGTGGCCTGATGTGGTCCGGCTCTGAAACATATCGATAGAGGGTTAGTTAAAGTCCGGCTATTAGTTAAAATAGGACAACGGCGATATAAACAGACGTTGCTGGGACATCCCATTAATTAGACAGTTATCTCCGCCCAACATCCGTCACGAACAGTCCTTTGGATTTCTATCTAAATTTCTATCTAACCCAGTGGAATATCCGAATAACGAATTCTAAAATTTCTCAAGCTTTCAGATATACGCGTGTTCGGGATATATAATTTTCGAATTGGACGGGGAAGGTCCCAAAATGGAAGTTAATAGAAAAGCAAAGGGGTCGTGGAGTAAAAGGCAAGGTCCTCGACAAGTTTGCGTGTCGAATTTCTAATTACCGGCTCAACAGACCGATCGGTTCCCGATTGCAAAAAGAAATCGTCAATTTGCGTTAAACGATCCATAATTCTTTTTTTCTCCTCGTTTACCCTAGAAAGTTCTCCAATTGCGAAACGATCCTCGTGATCAAAGCGTCGCACCGAACACCAGCGAAGCTTTGCCTTCGAGGGTTTCCTAATTTCCCGTTCAACTCACCAGCTTCCGAAATATCCTCACCCTCGCCAATTTTTATCCACGCTTCTCTTTTTATTCACGCAAAAAGAAAATAATACCACGCCGGTTCCACGATTTACCTGTTCCACTGCTCGACATTCCCCGATCCTTCCACCCCCCACTCTCCACTCCCCGAAATTTCACCCGCTTTTCCGGCGCAGCCGAACGCAAGTGGTTTCCAATTAACTTCCATGGCATTCGGTTTTATTAAATATTTCCGATATTTCCCTAACAATGTTTCTTCGCGATATTAGCGTACAGCGAATTTCGATGATCAAAGTAACATTATCCCACCAGGTTCGTAATGCACGTCACGTCGGGCGTATATTCGAATACAAGCATCGCTTCGTAGGACCTGCCTTCAAGGGTACTCGTGATTCAGCATTCAAAGGGTCTCTGAAATATGGCAAACGACAGAGCAAAGAGTAATCCACGTGTCTTCGCTGGGTTTCAACTTGACCACGGTCGGATCATGCGTCAACCCTCTCGGCGAGCCTCTGAAAAGGACCCTCTATCCGCGACTTCAACTTTCCTCGAATAAAGTCGCAAAAATTCGTGGCTCTTTTTCCAAATGCGTTTCTCTTTATCGTCGGTTATGCTCTTTAATTAAACCGTCGTCGTGTTCCACGATTATACTCGAAAATCGCTGCTGGCTACGAGGTACCCTTTATTTCTTTTTGATCCACCCTTATTAACGTCTGCGCAAAGAACGTCCTGGAAAACTCGTGACAAATTCCTGAGAAATTCGCGACAAACTCGTGACAAATGATACTTGTCCCTTATTCCCTGTGGACTTTAATCGAATCGAAATTTCGCGTTCCCGGATCCAAATCACGTTTCCAGCCTTCCACGATCCGCGTTTCCGGTGTCGACGGATGGAGGATCGGATTGGAATTATAGACGACGGCGGGATATTCGGTGGAAGAATTTTGCAGGTGACCTTGCGCGAGCAACAGTTCGTTAGTATACCGGGGCAAGTTCGAGAGACGGATGGAAATGGAGCCAGGGTCGCGCACACGTCGACATCGACAAAGCGCGGTCGTCGCTTCGACATTTAATGCGGTTACAGTCTACGAGGCACTCAAGAAGTTCGTCTCCCGGGCCGGGTATCTAATTACAGCAACGACGCTACCTGGAACTTCGCGTCGTGGAAATTAGCGGCGAATTTTCGCCGATTCCCAGGCAAATTCCAATGTCTTCGACCGATCGCTCAGCCGAACACGCGTCTTCGATTAATTCCCCGTGAATTAACCCTCTGACGATGATCGTGCTGCCTTTCGCGAGAAATTTTGTAGAAAATGGGAATCGAGTTTTATTTTTCTCCGAGTGGAGAAATTTGAGAGAAAGTTTAGGGAGATGTTAGGAAAAAGTTAGCCTCTGTTCTCTATGGTCACTGTCAAAAACACCGATCACTCTGAGTGAATGAGAGGCTGTTTTAATTCTTTATTACCAGCGTCCTAAAACTAACGGACACTCAGACCACCCTGACATCACTTGGACTACTCTGCGTTGCATGAAAGAAGTCATCTGAAAAACTTGTAGGACCAAATCCCCACCAGCCCGACCATTCTAACATCATGGCAGAAGTAGAGTAAAACGCTTCCCTTATTGGCAGAACTGGTCCCTTCCTATTAGCCTGGTCATAGAACACCATGTGACAAAGAAAGCGAACGAAGCAACGAGACAAAGCGAGACAGACGCAAAAAATAGATGCATGGGCGTAGACTCATCCCAAAGCGTAGTAGTGCGTCCAATTCGTTGTAAGTTAACTCTGAGATAACATTTCTTTCGCGGATATCTTACGCCTATGTTAACGTACTACGTTACCGAACTTGGAGATAGTAGTTTTGGGAGTGTCATAGAAGAGTGAGTATTACTAACAAGAGTACAGACGGAGCAAGTGGAATACCCCTCTTGCCCCCCAACCGAACGAGATGACTTCTTTCCTGCAACGCAGAGTAGGCCCTAGTAAGAGTCTATAATTCACCTGTATAGGCAGACAGGTCTGATTCGGTTTAAACTCCTATCACCACAGAAAGATTAGAGAATTCATAAAATACAAGGAGATACAAGATAGGACGAAACACCTTCCTTGCGGCCTTCTATCTGCTATCCTATCACAGCACAACGTCCAAGGGGATACCAATCGGTAGCACTCGAGGAACACAACACGAAAACATCACAGGTCCCCCACAATTCGAAAGATCCCTTACTCGAAATACTCGACGAGGCACGTTGGTCAAAATCGCTTGGCTTTCAACCGAGAAAAATGATCGCGGAAACGCACGGGACAGTGAGATACGACGCGTTGAAAATCGGAGGCGTCGCGCTTTGATAGCGTGCTTTTCGTCGAGTGCCTTTATCGTTGGTTTCCTCCTGGCGGCACGCCCGATATCGCGAATTTTCGCTCGGATACAGTCTCGCCATTTCTCTGCCGCGGATATTTACAGCCAGCGCGAATACTCTGGTCTTCTGTCCTCTCGATCTCTCGCATACAACGCGTACTCCAGGATCGAGGTATATGTACCCGATATGTATACGGTCTATGGGACAAACGAAGTGGAATGGAACCGGCTGGGTCAGACGCTTTTCTCGCCGCGCCTCGCAACTCCTGCGCTTTCAGCCGCTTCGTTACTTTCCCCTGTATTCGTCACCACTGCCCACGGATTTGTATCTTCGCCAAACCCGCCTTTCGCGACATTTTTCTAAGTATTTCGTTAGACTTTTTCACTGCGAGAATTAACCCTTTGCACTCGAGAGGTGACTCTCAGTCACCATTTGTTTTAACGCTATAACTTAGACAATGGATAATGATAATTATATTAAGAACATCGAAATAAAATTATTCTATTTGTTCGTTTCTCACGCAAATTCACGATTTTCTTTTTTTAATTTTAGCATAAAGAGTATCAGTGAGCTTACACAAATCTAAGAAGAGCTTCGAATCGCATCCTCACAACGAGGAAAGCTTCGAGTCCAAAGGGTTAATCAGTGCTTGCATTCTTCCGTGAACGTAAGATAGTTCAAACGAGGTCTCGTAGGCTTTTATTTTATTATAATATTAGAGTAAATGTGTTTGGTTGTGTAAATTAAAGAGCGTCCTGTACGCTATGTTTTTGGGATAGTTCTATCTGCAAGAGTATGCGTTTCACCGCGGCGCTGCTTCCCTCCTAGCTTAACTCATTTTATGACACTACCTGAGTACGGAAATGGCAACTGTCGCCCAAAATGTTTCTCTGTCATCTGTGTGCCAGTCATCGCTAGAGAGTCTTCGGAGAGAGCAACTGCGTGTGCTTCGACTTCTCTAGAGTTTTTCTTCATCTTCTGTATACATATATGTGGGATTGGAATAAGAACGGCCCTGGAAGAGTGGCAGGTGTGTCTGGACCCAGAACGAAAGACCGCGCGCAAGAGGATCGATTTCAATGAATGTTTATGTTAGAGCGAAAGATTAGATATGCGTGTAGAGTGTTTGAAATACCGCACCCTCCGAGGTTGCGTAGGAAAGAAGTATGATTGCGAAGGAAAGCCTGGGTATGGAAAAGAACAGAGTGAATGCTTAAATAAGGGCAGCAACAGTCCTTCACGGTCTTCAAGATAGCGTCTAACAAGTAAGAGTCGAACGTATCCGTAGCGGGTCTCTAGTTTCGTAGCCAATAAGTATAAGTTTATTGTATTTTAAGAAGCAGTAAAACAACGTTACTTTAGCTAATCCACCCACCCCGATCCCACATATATATTTTGTTTGTGCATTTCAATAAACTTACATTTTCTACCACATAACCCTGTTATTCTGCTGTTGCTTATTACTAGTGCCTAGTAAATTAACAACTGCAACAGGTTGAATGTGTTATGTCTGCTTCGATGTTCGGATTTTCACTTTTTATAAATACAAATACTGGAATATTCAGGTGGTGGTCAACATTGTTAACTTACTTCGTCTTTCATTATATTAGGTGTGGTAAAAAGAAATCCATTATTTTTGCATTCAATTTCGTGCAAAAATAATGGATTTCTTTTTACTTCACCTAATATATGTAGAAATGTTGGATAAGCAACAGAATAAGTAGCAATATAAATATAGAAATGATTTATCCTAAACTAAAACTTATTCTAAGCGCTAATAACAGGAAGTGGAAGTTTTTCCGAAAACTTGGGAGAAAGTCCTCGAACCTCCTCGAAGTTGGAATGCATCTAGTGGTCAACATTGTTAACTTACTTCGTCTTTCATTATATTAGGTGTGGTAAAAAGAAATCCATTATTTTTGCATTCAATTTCGTGCAAAAATAATGGATTTCTTTTTACTTCACCTAATATATGTAGAAACGTTGGATAGGCAACAGAATAAGTAGCGATGTAAATATAGAAATGATTTATCCTAAACTAAAACTTATTCTAAGCGCTAATAACAGGAAGTGGAAGTTTTTCCGAAAACTTGCGAGAAGGTTCATCGAACCTCCTCGATGTTGGAATGCATCTAGTGGCAAGGGTGAGAACGATGATCGCGACAGGATTCTCTTACTCGAAAATGGGAGAAACAGGATAGGAAGAGGCGTCGATGCGTTTTATCGCGGTCCTAAACGAGCGGACGATAATTTTCGCGTCGCATCGATTTTCTATTTTCAGCCAGCACTCGCGGTTATTAATGAGAACCCACGGGTGTCGGGGAAAAGCTCGTTATCGGGCAGGATTATCACAGTGATCTACGCAACGGCGTGTCTCGTTTTTCCGCGTCTCCATCCATTCTGCCCCCTCTGGCATCTCTGCCAATGGAACGCAACTGACCGGCTAACAACGCTTCCTGATATCGCTAAAGGTGATGCCAACACACGCTCGAGTGGTCTCGTTTCGCGAACGGAGAAAAAGGCAGCAACCGGGGAATCCGTTGTTTGCGGAAAGTATTTACCCAGCGGACGTCGGCCGTGTAATTAATTTCCGACGTGCAGATACGACCACCTCGGATACTCCAGGGTAATCCGTCAGTTTGATACGCTCCACGGCCATCGCGAGGGAATCCGTCCAAAGACGGGCTTACGGCCACCGCGGAACATCCACGGGGATGGAATTATTCTGGCGATCCTCGTCAACGATATTACCCTGCGAAAGGTTCAGCCGGCGAACGAACCGCAGGATCGTCCTTCCTCGGCTGTTCACACGTGGATGGGAAAGCGTTTTCGATGTAAATGGGCCGCGAGATAGGGTGACGCTCGCGACATCCACGCTAATGTAAACTAATCGCAGTGCATACACGCCCTCGGATCGTTCTCGTTTCTCCTTACGCTTCGACGTCCCATAGAATAACGTTAAATAACGACAACATGGTGGAGCAGTGTTCCGTTTAACGCGTTAAACGCCACCGGTGCCAGACTTTTCGTTCGGGTCTCGCCGATCCGTACAGTCTGGTAAGGCCCACATGATGGCTAATTATAGTGTGAACGGCATATTAAACCGACGTGGCGTTTAACACGTTGACTGCCAATTACGAGATATCTCGTAGGCTGTTTACTTGCCCAAGATGCCTACTACGAGTTATGCCGTTCCCTTCGTCATTTGCCATATTTGTACAGCTACGAGGAAACCCGTAGTACAACTGTTGTATAATTCAAAAAGAAAAAGTTTATACAAGTGTATCTTCAAAAGAAGAATATTTTTCAAGCTTTTTGATTATTACTATGTACTATAAATTAAGTTTTTGATAATATAACGTGATTAACACTAGAATTTACGGAATCCGTCAATTTGACGGAAGGGTTGCTCCAATTATACGATGGTAACAGATTTTGGTTCATTTACATTAAGACTGTGAATATAATATATAATTGTTTTTATATATTATATTAACAGTCAAATAAAGGCACGTAGTTTCCTTTACCTGTTAACTTGACAGGTGTCCTTGGAAATAAGTATACAGATAGCATCCGTAAACCTAGTGTTAAATCAAATTGGTTTCTTAGACCGGAATCGTGAAAGGTTGCGTGGCAGTCATCGTGTTAACGCGTTAATCGTTTCGACACGACCGATTTTCACGAACGATCGCAACCATCTATCTCTGGAACCATCTCGTCGCCATTCGCGCGAACTCGCGGCCCTGTCGGAACTGCGGTTACGCGAGGATTGTAACGTGGACTGGGTCGTGTAAGGTAAGGAGAAATAAATTACACGGCAAGTTTATTTCGTTAGCGGAGACCTCGTTCCGCGTTCGAATCGTGCATCGAAAGTTTAAACCAGGGCAAGCAGCACCGTGTCGCCGCCGCTTCCGATACGATTCAGCGTAAACAGTGACGCACGATTAAAAACGCCGGTGACAATGGCCGGTCTGATAACTTGACCCCGTTTCGGAGAATCTCTCGGTCGATTGTCTCGACTGGCGTTAGAAAAATCGACGGTGGAGAATCGAGAAAATTTACGCCTTGGGATAAAAGCTGGCGAGAAATGTGCATACGTATAGAGTAATTTTCCATGACTCAACGCCATCCACGCGCTACTGAATTATCAGGGGAAAAAATAGAAAGGGGATGTCGGGGCACAAAGCTCGCGGTTGAAAGATCCGTCGTTACATCTTCATCCACCTACGCTTTCCTGCTCCTTCATCTGCTCGACGTCTACCCGGCTGGCAGCCGCCCCGTGTTCCCAACCGCGATCAACGACCGTGAAACCGGAGAAATATCGCGGCGGTCGTGCTTAACGAGAGAAATACGTGCTTACCGGGTAACTCCAAGAAATTGGAGGTCCTCCGCTGCCTGCCGCGGGGGTGCGCGGTGAAGTTCAAGGGGCCCACGGTCTCGTTGCTAACGTTGGACAAATTGGAGCACTGGCTGTCGCGCGAGCCCCGTCTGGACGCGAGGTAGGCTGCAACACAGAGGCGTGTCGGGAAATTTCATCGAATGCCGAAGAATTCGCGGCTAGTAGCGGCTCGCCAGCGGCGTCAAAGGGATTTTGGTAAAAGCAGAGCGGGTAATTGTTCCAGAGGCGATCCTGGGGCTGGTGAAACGCGTGGAATACCGATCCGTCGCGGTCACGTCGTTGACCGTCAGCCACCGCTGCCTGCGAGCGTGGTCCGATCGAAATTTAGCCAGCGAAATCTCCGCGCCCGGCTCCAAAGGATTATAGATCGAACGGGATTACCGGATTAGCCGCTCGAAATATACGGCCCAGCCTCTCGTTCTCGCTGGAGAAAAAGGAGAATCGAACGAAATATACCATCGCGAGAGAGAGAGAGAGAGAGAGAGAGTTAGAGAGAAATGAAACGCGACTCGAAAGGGATACAGGACGAAGCGAATGGGGTGAAAGCTGGTTTTATTAGAGACCTTTAAACGAGGATTCGATTTGGACGATAAGTCGGTCCGCAGAAATGATTACACCGAGCCGATTTCTGGCTTTCCGACTTCCCTTTGTCCGCCCTGTTACGGGATTAAGCACGACGTAAAAGGCTATAGGATGGATCACGGAGAACGCGTAACGCGAGACTCGAAGGACAAAACGGTTGACGCCGAAACGCGGGGGTTAATAGCGACGTCGTTAATAATTCAGACTAAGCCGGTGGGTACGGGGGAACGGCGTGCTAGGTAAGACGGTTTGAAACGTTATAATTACAATCTCCGCGCAGTCGCCACCACGGGGACGGGATTTATGCGAGACAAAACGCCGCGACTTCGGGAACAATGGGATATTTCAACCGACGAGCCGAGTAAATTCCATCTTCCTCGCCTCTTCGCTGCGAGCACGAGGCCGACCGAGAGGATACCGATAACGCGTTCTCCGGTTGACGTTACTGTCTTTAGGAATATCTAGGTTCAGGTTAGCTGCAGTCGACTTCTTGAACTCGACCCGATTCGAAAATTTTCGAAAAACGCGCCGCTCGTTATCGCGTTACGCGCCTCGGATAATTCGAGGGGGGTGGGGGGGGGGCGCAAGCCGTCACCCGGGCATTAATTAAAACCGATAATCCCCGCGAACCGTTGAAAAAGCGAGAAAGAAGAAGTAGGGACAGGTAAAACCGATGGCGTAACGGCTGATGATTATAAGCCGATCGACGATCCCTCTTCGTTAATCGCCACGCCAGACGCTCGAACGTTCGAATAATTAGACGTGTCCGGAAATCGATGTATCTCATTACGAGATAATATAATTTGCAATTTCGCCGGTCACGAGGCTCGCCTACGCGATAACGAATCGATAATTAACTCTCTCTCTCTCTCTCCTCCACTCTCGCTCTCTTTTTCCGGCGCACAGCGATGGCCCCGTTAATTAATTCTTTTTCGCGCTCGCTGCACTTTGCAAACGCTTTTAAAACGCGATTCGAGGAATTCCTTTGACGAGGTAACTGTGATTCGAGTTTTCGCTCGCTGAATCGACCCATTTCGAACGAATATAAATAGTTGACTCAATCCCTTCTGTTCTTCAATTTCGCCAATACCGCGAGCAACGCGATTCCAATCGTATCCAAACCAGCGACCAACTGTCCGCAGATTAGAATACCATATCATTCGAGCAAAGATATCGCGCGTAACCCTTATCGAGCCGGCCGATGATTACGGTAAACAAGGACGGTGAAAACGGTAGAGTGATCCGAACAGTCGCTCACCGAGACCCCCTTTTATGGACCCTCTCCTCCTAGGGCTGGACAACAGAGTCACTTCCGTGTCCGCGTCTTCCATGTCGGTCAAGTCGCTGGTCGACCTCCTCGAGATGTTCCTCCCGTTCATCCCGTACACGTCCTCTTTACTCTCGCTCAGACTCTTCTCAGTCTCGCTCAGACATCCTTGACTCTGATTAAAGTGACCGCTGTTTTTGCTCCCCTTCTTGCTGCTCGGACTGTCGTTCTTCTCCTTCGACGACCCGTCCGAGGACGACACCCTCGATCCGCTGTTCTTGTAGTTCGAGTTGTTGTGCTGATCCAGATTCAACTCGGGGTGCTTGGGACTGGAAAATCCGTGAACGAGGGGAGCGACGATCGTCGGAGACATGGGACTCTTGGACCCGCTCAGCCCGAAGCAAGAATTCTTTCGATGGTCGAAAGGCTTCGGGCTCTTGGAGCCGAAACTCGAGGAACTCGGCGATCTGACCGGTACCACGGGAGAGACGGAGACGGGACTCCTCGGTGGGTAGCTCATAGTCTTGCCCAGGTTCTTCCTGGACTCGGAGAACTGGAATATAGGCGACTTTCTGCTCGGCGAGTGCAACAGGTCCGGATTTGGGCTCTTCGGGCTCCTGCATCCCTGTCGAGCGTAATAGCTCGGGCTTCTGGGTCCCCGATCGAGCTCGTTCAGCCGTCCAAACTCCTCGAAATCGAAGTTCGTATTAGGTGTCTCCGGGTAGTATTCCGGGGGGAACTCGAAGACCAACGGCGTCCCCGGAGATTTGCCGACCGACAACTGCGTGGGACTTCTCTGGCCTCCGATCGGGATTTGAGGTAGTTGCGGTAGTTGACGGGGACTCCGCGGGGATTTCAGATGTATCGATTGTCCGGGACTGTTCGTCGCCATCTCGGCTCTATGTGTCAACGAATGCTCTCTGCTCTTGCTCTAGCCCTCGAGCCCTCTACCACTCTACCTCCTCCTCGTTCTCTCCGTATCTTTTCCTTTTTACTTTCTTCCTCTCTTTTTAATCTACCAAGAGAAGGTAGAAGCCTCTGCCGAGCTCATTGTGCTTCCAGAGCGACGATGAAACGCGAGACTCTTTGTTGTGCCTGGTCGCCAGGAGTTCCCTCCGAGCTACGCGCCTACCTTCCGGCCCGGATTGAATTTTCATCTCCGCGCCCAAGCACTCCAGTCTTCTGATGCTTTTGCGCGTCGTCGTTAAAGAATGGCGCGACGCTCGGCAGAAGAAGACGCCGATGACGTGCACTTCGGAAAATTCGTCTGCCAACAGCGAGGATAAAGGACCCGATCCTGCGAGATTACCTGAAAAACAAACGACTCGATCATCAACGGCTATTCGTATCGCGATGTTTCTTTCTTTTCTTCTCACTCTCTCTGTTTTTCGATATCGATTTTCTATTAGGCGAAGTGAAAACCGGGAACGTTAAAATTACCTCTGGTTGCCGGCGTGAAATTGGCGATAAAATAATCCGATTTAAAGTTCCGTCGCGAGTTTTCAGCCGCGCGGTGTACAAAGACGATTAAAGGTTCGAACGAATTTTCGATCCCGTCCCGGATACAGTATCATCCGATCAAACAGACCTCTTCAAACACGCGGCGAAAGCTCTTCCCTTCCTCGTGGACGAGGTACGAAGTGCGGCAACGCGACGATTCAAAGCGCGTCGTCTGGTCTGGAAAGCGATCTGCTTGCCGTGGAACAAGTGTAAATAAAAAGCTCTCGCAGAGGAATTTCATTTCCCTTCGACTGTCGCGTAATTTTCTTGTTTACTCCAAACCCCGCGATAGAAAAACCAACCCTCGTTCGACGCAGGCAGGATAATTTCCAGCGAAATGCTTCGCGCAACTGCGAAATTGATACAAACGCTTCTATATGGCGAAGTACACTTCCATAATGATTCCCGGATATCGCGTATACCCCGACTGCCTTTCATCGTCGCGTATTATTTCGCGAACACGTCGGAAACCGATATTAATTAACATTTAACCGACAAAAATCGCCTAGCCAGTGCCTGCTTCGTTTCCGAACAATCGTATCCGGAAATTCCGTAACGAGATTCAAGCCTGGAATTCGCACCTAAATTGCACACGTGTACTCCTCCGCTTTACACGGAGCCACCATTTTAATCCTGGCAGGGTTAATCTCCCTCTATCCTACAAACGAACATGCGAGAGTCCTCCGACTCACCAGTCGCTTCGGTTTCCCTGCGAAGAATTAACCTGTTGATCGCAACCGGCCGAGTATCGTCACGCTGCGTTTCGTCTCCGCTCCTCCGCCAATTTCTCGCGGATCCTCTTCGATCGGACAACGATCCAGAGGACGACCATCCGGCGTAGATCTCGTCGAGGACTGGAAACGAGTGAAGACACGGTGAGTACGATTCCTCGCGAATGTCGAGCAACGTCACCGCGAAACCACCGAGCTGCCTCCTCGACGGAGGCTCCCGCGTTACTGAGGGGTTGCAGCGTACGGGCCACCGTCTCTCCACCACGCCAGCGAATTCACCCTGCTCGACCTCCCACCCCTAGCGTCCCCGGGGCTTTCTTTCTCTTCGCACGTGTCTCTTTATCAATTCGATCCATTTCGCTTCCGTGACTCCGCGGCTTCTCACAGGCCGCAGCCCGATCGTGCGTTTCATCTAGGGGAAAGAGAAAATGGGAAAAAGGGTCGGACTAGCAGTGCAAATGTCACCTGTTACACGGCATTTCTTCGGGATACGCGTCGCGTTTACAGCAGTAGACGGATTGCGCGGGTAGCAGAGGTCGTTGAAGGGTAATGGCATTTCGCGAAGAGCAGACGGAAGTTCCTGATCGACATCGCAAATACTAGGTGATACTTTGATCGCTTCGTCCGGATCCAAGCTTCCGCCTACGGATCTTGAACGGTCACCGATGATCCTTTGCCGTCATCCAGAGTGATTCCTCCAGCGGTCCTCCGGTGTTTCTCGAGCGTGTGACCTGAAACAGAAGTAGCGGAAGCTGGTTAGAAGCGTATCGATCGGAGAACAATCGAAATCGGCACCGTAAATATTCTCACCAGAGGACACGTTTGGTTAGGAATACGAATTGCGAAGCGATTCGATCGAAATCGAAGAGGAAGCTGCGTCTGCTTTGATAAAGACATCCGATGAAAAGAAATTCTGCTCGAGCATCTTCGTTCATCTTCCCGAGCAGAAACGTTGTTCTTCCACGCAGGATTGCCTCGAGTGCACGATGAAATTTGATAGGAAGGAAGAGGACTTGATTCGCATAGCGGATGCAGAGGCACGCGGCTTTCTCGAGGGAAATTCGATTCCCATGTAAAACCGCGGAGGTCATTTCGGGGTAATAGATGGTCCGTGACAGCATGCTGCACGGACGTTCACCGGGGTTGCGCTCGAATTCGCACCGCAACGCGCGGTAACTGCTCGCGAATCACCCCGGAACTTGCGGTCCAACAGTGGCGGACACGTCCCACGGGTAAACGGGAAACTAGTTAACTAGGAATCGATCGTGACATCGTGATTGTCCCAGTGGAAGATTGTTCTTGGACCAAGACAGTGGTACAAAAATTTAAATGAACGCGATACACGTATTTCAAAGATAGCTATTTTTATGGAGAACACCGAGGATACGATTCTTTATACTCATTCTCGAAAATGGCAGGCATCCCGAGTCAATGGGAGTCTCATATTTCTTTATTACCAGCGTCTTATGACTCGTGGACACTTAGCCACCTGAACAGCACTTGGACTGATCCTTTGTAAGAGTCTCTAAATCACCATTAGGGGTAAACAAGCCAGAATGTATCTAAATTTCTAAACTTCCACTATCACGAAAGGATTGGCGGATTCTATACACACTATCAATGGAAAAACACGCAACCAATCGCCAATCCCATACACACCCGAATCCATAAAATGCACAGAGGCACGAGATAGGAGGCAGTCAAAACTAGAACATCGAGTCAAACTTACGACATTGAATCTAATGAATTCACTCTCTGTGATATAGGAAATTGAAAACCTACAACACCGCAATGAACTAGCTTAAGTATCCTTTGATTAATTCTCCATATGGAAAATTCGGACGAAACAGACCTAACGATGCAATAGTGAGATATCCAGGGTCGCTTTCGTTAAGGAAGCTCCCTACTGTAATTGATCTCTAAAATAAACTCCTACTGCTTAGGCCTAAAACACTTATGACTATTGATGCCGAGACGATCGGTCAAGAGGTGTCGAACCTTTCGAGCCGAAGAACAGGCAGTCTAATAAAGATCTCATTGTCAGTTCTTGGGAAGGAAAGTCTTCGGAATCGTTTAGCATACTCCTCCATTCCTCGGCCATACTACGTTCCTTCTAGATGTCAAAACGATTTTAAAAATATCAGAATATCGGAATGGAACGTGGTTATTTACCGAAGGAACGAAGCGAATTCGTACAAGTTACGCGCTGGCGCGAAAAGCGAACCACGCGCCCTTAAAATATCGATTATCTGTCCTCGGGTACACAGTTTCGATTGTTTGCCAATAAGAAAAGACTATCAGTACTGTTCTCGACTTACTTCGCAACGCAACGTGTCAAACTACTCTTCACGATCGAACACCTCTAACAATGGTTGTCCATTTATCGCTTTTGATTTCTGCCAATTGACAAACATCGCTATCGCCAATTGCCGGATATCGCCGATCGTGACGTGCAGTTCACATGTTTATCTATCGATTCGCGGTCTCAAAGATACGATGATTCCTCGAATCCTCTGGCCACGCTATAATATCTACGTAAGGGAAACGACGATTCAGTCGATAGCGGAACGGGATTCGCAAGGTTTGGACGTGCTTCGCGAAACGACCGCGCGCTTCCCCCTCTTCGAAAACTTCTGACAAGCTCGCGTGGTAACGAAGATTCGACACAACCATATACCAATCTGAAACGGTGTGCCTGAATCATGCCGTCGTTGAAATCGTTTCAAGTGCAGTTCGACCGGCCAAATGCTGCGTACATGGCCGGCGAACAGGTCAGTGGAAAAATCATCGTGAACGTAAGCAGAGACACGAACGTGAGAAGTGAGTGTCCTCGGTAGTGAGACAGCGTTACAGCAAAGTTTTCCTACTTGTTCTAAAAGAGGTTTTACGCGATTGTGATTGACAGATTGTCGTATCTTCTCGAAGTTGGAATATTTTTAGACAGCCTAGATATCGCGTTGAAAATACTGATTAACCAGTCGACTTCTGCCTCATCCGAGCAGTGCACACTAGCGCCGCCAACAGTCGCTTCTCGGAAATTCATGCAGATTCTGTTTCCAACGGTCGTTTTCGTGCTGCGTTTAATCGCATTCGTGTAACATTTACGCGATAAATATTATAACTACGTTACTCGATATTGTATCGATTGCTATAGACCGTTTATATCGGTTTTAATAAGCGTACAAACGTAAATGCCGCAATACAATTCGAGAAACAATCGATTTTATCTAAATTCGGTTTTATTCGATGGCTGGCGAATTTTTCTCGAGAACTAAACGCTGTTTATCTTATCTATAACAAAATATGTACCTTCGACACGATACTCGAGGACACATAAACGAAGAGTTAAACCGCAACGCGACCTTCGCTACTTTGTTGGAAATAGCTCCCTTATGATGTATTCCTTTGCGATAAACTGCATCGTCTCGTTCCTTTTGGAATTAACGTCTAAAGTGGCACAGCGATGGTGCACAACTCGCGAGTACTTTAATCGCATTGCCAACAAAGACGCCATTGTCGTAATGCTGCGCTCGGTGTCAGATGATACGCGTGTGCCAACAGTCGCACGAATGAGCGGTCTTGTGCGTCTCAAATCCTCATCCAACCTGATCACGTTGCGTCGATCCGGGGAATTTCGTAAAACTCGTGTTTTCGACCGTCGCACGATTTTCTGGTCGATTTGACGAACAATAGCGAACACGTGACATTAGGCGTGCGCGTAGAAATAAATCATGGGACGAGAATACCAACTGATCCATGGTCGTCGTTTTTCGATCGAAGACGTCAGCGTACAAACATGGCGGCACTCGGAATAACTCTTCCAGTTCGTAACGAATTTCGAGCCTCGATGATCGCATAAATTTCCATACTCGATCGCGTTAATCGGCTTGACAACGGCATCGACTCTGAAAAAAAGAATCGGTTACTAAAAATTTACTGAATTTGCTCAAAATTTGATCGACTATATGATCGATTATAGGACTATACTTCAGTGCGAGAGGAGGAGCTAATGTGTGTTGGAGTCAATCGCAAAGTAGGAAAGATGCTAACGGCCAAGTCAGAACCGTTCATTCAAACTTTACCAATTCGGAGGAATACCTACATCTGCAGTACAACATAGCCGTGCAACAGTGCACTGGCAGAGAAAGACGTGAGTAAAATCCTACAAAGTTTAAGGAGCTCGAAGGTTTGGGTAAACGGTTGAACGGTAAGGAAAAACGACGAATGTCGATGATGCATTTTACGTAATTTCCAGCGGACTCACTGGTCAGAATCACGTCTGGTTACCACGAGTATCCATTTACCTTCCAGCTACCCCATAGCATTCCGAGCAGCTTCGAACACTACTATGGACACATAAGATACACGGTGAAGGCCATGATGGATAGGCCATGGAAGTTTAATCACGAATGTAAAACAGCGTTTACCGTTATTTCACCTTTAGACTTGAACGAGTATCGTGCAAGATGCGTAAGAACCTAGTATTTGCGTCTTAAATATTACAAGATCGATTTCCGAAATTTCCACGAATCGTCATATACATTTGTTTGATTTTTTCATAGAGTAGTTGGGAATCCAAGACGAAGTGGTGGAAAATTTCTGCTGCCTTTGCGTGATCAATCAAGGTTCGATAAGGGCGGAAATCACAATGCCTTTCACCGGATATGTTCCAGGACAGTCAATAAACACGATACTAGACTATAAGAATTCATCGAGTAGCGTAGAGATTTCAAAGGTCACTACCAAACTAGCGAAAGTGAGTGACGAGTTCGAAACGGCGAAAGTATCGGTTCCTCGAGCGTTGAGAAATTATTCGTTTATTCTTTCCCTGCTTTCAGAAAATCGACTTTTACGCGAACTCGCCGTACAGCAAAACGCAAACTAGTAACGCTGTACTAAAGTCCACGAGCGACTCGGGACCGTTCTCGGCCCGTGGCCGAGTTGTATCGAATATTCTGGTACCACCTATACCACCGTCTCACCTCAAATATTGCAGCATAATAAACCTGGAGTACCAAGTGATCGTCACTGTCCACGTCTCGGGACCGTAAGTAGCGTTCGACGAAGTGGAATATAATCCCGCAGCTGAAAAATATTTGAATAGTCGTAATACACGAAGTAATGGTGAAATCTAAGAGATAAGATAACAGCTATGACGTAACGTAATTATTATCTTCGATTCATTATCAACGCTTTGTCTTCCGACTTCCACCAGGCACTGTAAAATCGAGAAGAGTTACCCTCTTCTCATCGGTACGGTACCACTTTATTGTCCTCCTTCTGCACCACCTATGGAGGATGCGAACGTCGTGCCTGTCCCGTCGGTCGTGAGACAAAACACGCCAGTGATAATAACGGTACCGTTGCCGATGACGGTGTCACCGGAGCAATTTAACGCACCGTATCCTCAAACAGGAGCCCAGAATCGACACATGGGCTTCGTTCATCCGGACCAGCCCAGCACCTCTGCCGTCAACCTAGAAATACGTAAGAAATTAGTGACAATTTTATTACTATGTTAAATTATTACTAATAATTTCATTAGTAATAATTTATGCGAGTAAATGAAAATGTAACAAGCTAAGATTCGTTACTGTTCCCTCCGTTTAGCACCGCCATCTTACGAAGAATGCATGTCTGGAACTGAGCATATCAAGGAATCCAATGATTCGAGTTACGTGTTCGGTGCGAACAGACCTTTCGCACCCAGGTATCCTGTGTTCAACTACCCGACACAGAGTAAGAATACAAATTTATTACGCGACCATTTAATCCTAGCTGTTCGAGCACACGGTCAGTTTCTAACGAAATCTCTTTTCCCTCAGATATACGCAACGAATGAACGAGAAGTTGCAGGACGATGGTGAATCATTCGTGTGCAACTGAAAATGAGATTTACCAGCTGACAATCTACCTCGACTCTTCGCTAGACTCTTCTATTTTGTACAAGTTATCGAACTATTTTTATACGTGTGTGTATGTATGTTACTATTTTTCCTACTACGTGTAGTTGTGCGTGTACATTTGTAAACGAGTAAATATGTCTTTGTACGTGAAACGAAAGGAACGCTTTCTGTCTTATCTCCCACTGAAGTCAGAAGGCATAAGGGAAAAGCAACGGTTTTACGAAAATGATATATTTACACAATTTATTTTTATATCTCAACATCGTCATATTGTAATCATAATCATCATCGAGTCACATTATAATTAGCAAAGGAAAAAACGAATATCATGTTTAAAAAGGTGAACAAGGAGAATAGAGAATTTAGCGACAAAAGGTAGCAGTATAAAAGGAATGAAAGATTCGTCGGTAAAACTTCGGTAAATCGATAGATCGCAAATCGGTCGTTCTCAAAAAGGTTCGGATAAAGAAGAGAGTAAAAAACTTACAGTAGCTCCTGAACGCGTATGCTTGTGTAACGTAATTGTTTAAGAATATGGAGGAAGGCTTATCAACAAGTTGCGAACTTATCTCGAATCATCACTCATATAACATCTTCTACTCTAAGGTGTATTACAGCTCGACTTGACGCTTTAGCAAATACACACGGTACGATTCGCATTTCAATCACCAAATGCCCGATAAACGTGTCATTGTAGGAACTGAACCCAACCATCTTAATGTTAAAGGCTGTCTTAAATACTGCGAACAGACACGGTCGTCATTCATTTTTCTTACTTTTCCTTTGCTTTTTGGAGTACGACTTGCTATCGGATGGCTGTGAAGACTTTTCTTTCGACTCTACTCTTGCTTGCGCAAACAAACGAGTAAAGAGATTGGTACGCGATCGGACATACATCGAAAAGAATATACGGTGCAACTATTAACGAAGACTGGACAAAGTCAATTCCAATTGTACCTTTACAGAATGGCGTTCGTTGCGGCTGGTCCCATTTCGTACGCTTGTATCGCATCGTTCGTAGATACGACGATCGTTCTTACCGAATTCGCTCGTTAATAACCAAGACAAAAATTTCGCTGATTATCGAATATAATTTGTTGCTCTGAAATAATCGTACAATCGTGACATCGTTCACAAGGGCATCCGACGCAATAAACAAGAGAAAAAAAAATTGTGCTACGACTAATTCGTTCGCACGGTTTTGTTTCCAATATGCTTCAAGTATAGGATACGAGCGTATAATCCTAAACTGGCATTCGGTGTCGTACAAGTACTCGTGGTCATTAAATATGAGTTCAATAATCGCATCAAACGTAAATATATCTAATTTTTTTTTTTTTTTTTTGTTTTTGTTTTTCCTTTAAATCGCAGCATGCTAAAAATGTTTAAAAAAAGAAAGAAAAAAATAAAAAGAGTCAAGAATTGAAACGAATATATTGAGATATAAGAAAAATAGATAAAGTGAAAGATATAATTCGTAGACTTGCGAGAGACGTAAAAGTAGCACTTGGAAATGAAAAGAGTAAAAACTCTTAGACACTTGTGATTACATAGTAAACGATACGAAAGCTTTTGTGTGTAACGTACAGTAATACATACGTATTTCTTGACTCGATAATGTTTCCTGACTTTTTTTTCTTTAAATCTCTGATTATCCTGATTCATCGGGAGGGGAAAGGAACTGTGCGCTCCGACTTTACAAAAATTTGCTTCGCTTATATTACAATAACCTTCCCTCGATTTAAGACATTCAACCCTTAATATATTATTATCATAAATAAATTTGGTCTATCGGTAATATTGTGAATACGCCGGTATAAATACTGGCAGTATTTGGTTAAGTAAAAAAATCATGATCACTAGAAGAGGTAACTGGTACCGATTGAATTAATAAAAAATTAGCGAAACTATTATTATCGTTCCAATTATAAATATTCATCAGCGAGAAACGACACGATTTATCAATCCACATACATTATATTCGGTTGTACAGGTATTCACGATTACTTCTTGAATTATCGTCGAGGATACGACAAATTCGTCCACGCGAAAGTTTTGTCCAATTTTAACGTCACATCGAATCAACTTTTCACGCGTATAATCTGCTAGTATCCTTGACGATTTGAGAAATAACAGTGTGTATACGTATAAACCAAACATACTGCAGATAACAAAAGAGAGCAATATACGACACGCATGTTACAACTTCCAGTAAACTTGATTTAACATTCTTTCATGGGATTATCGGGGTATCGCAGATCTATTCACGATACGAACGAAATTTCTTGCAAGTTAATACCAGCGAATGCGTTGGCAAAATTGTCCTATGTTACTAACACATTGGCTTATAGTTACGTCATAAACTCTTATTTCTTGAATATATCTTGTTTGCATTATATTACAATATGGTATTGCTCTATTCTCCGTCATAAAGAATTTAATAAAAAGATTGCGCTTAGCCAACACTCGGTATAGACTCGAGAAATTTGAATGCCTCGTAAACAGATCTACCATGGGACCGCCGATAGGAAAGTATAGTGAGTCAGTAGATCCGTTTTAAAAACAGCAGTTGTAAAGATGTCTTTTAACATTTCCATTTGATCCACAAAACTGTCCCGTGTATTGTAAACTATGGTGACCCACTTATTAGTTTTTGCAGCACTTTGTTTTAAAAAAATAATCAATGTTGCTTTCGCCACCACATGGCGCAACGGGTTCAAGACAAACATCAACATTTCGTCTCTACCATATTTGTATACATACATTCAATACAACATTAACATTAACTGAGATTAAGAAAAGGCATAATTTACATTGTCGCCGTGTGTTGATCCAAGTCATGAACCAGAGGACACTGAGTTGTGCACACGTAGCGTGTGTTTTTTTTTTCTTTTTCTTTTTTTATAGTGTGTGGTATATGTCTTTACGCAATCACTTTACATTATTACACTTTTTTTCAGTCCGCACGCTTCCCAAAATCCTGAAAAGAAAAGTATGAATACCACGTTGGAAGAAACGTAAAAAGAACAAGCAAGTAGTCGACGATATTTAAATGAGTATGTAACTTTACCATAACTATAAGTGCAACTTTAACCTTCTCTTTTAATGGCACCTGGTGCTTCTGCTAACCCTTTAACTTTAAGCCGATCAGCAGTTTTAAGAAATGCAGGCAACTGATCCTGTGAAACGTTAACTTCTCCTGCGTACATAAACTCCAAAATGGCCTGAAGATGACTGTATGCGACATCTTTCAGAATGATGATGGGATGTTTGGACGGATTTTCCTATTAAAGAGTATTAATTAGAAAAATTTCACTACCCGAGACGGTTAAACTTTGGACAGTACGATAACATACCTCTAACAAAGATTTAAAATAGGGACTACAAGCGGATAATACCATCTTATGTGCTTTACAAGTTTGTCCATCGCAAGCTAATGTCACATCCGTGAAACTTTTTTCATCTCGTAGGTGTTTAAACGACGATACCATATTAGATTGGAAATCATTCCATTTAAGAAAAAACTGCTGCTGTTCATCTGCCATCGCTGACACCCAATATTACAATGAGCCTTGATAAAATTTCAAAACTGGAAGAACAAGTTTCGGTAAGATATAAAAACACCGAATTACGTCCGACAGACTAATATAATTATAATAGTAATAACAACGATATCGCACAAACGTTATCGCACGTACGGGGGGAAAAGATAGGAAAACATAAAGTACGCGTTAAGCGGAAAAATGCATAGATATGAAACGAAAAAAATATTTATTCGACAATCGTAAAAGAATCGCAACGAAACAAACGGGACACGAAACGAAAGGCAATGTTTCTAAAATGTACACGAGATCGAATCTTGCTACCTTGCACGAAGTTCTATGTACCAGATTTTGTTTAGGTTAAGGCCAAAAATATTCAGGCAAGTCGTACGGAGTTTGTCCAAGGGTATTCGGTGAAGCGAAAATAGAAATAAAAGAAGAGATATCATACCACAGTACGAATTCGATTCACTCTAGTATTGGAACAAGCTTCGCATGACGTGTTACTCGTATTTTGTCATAACAATACGCGTACGACCGACGGACCGTTCCGTCAAAGGCACTCGTAGGTCCAAAACGGCACACCGATACGAAACGCGCGAGAAAAATAACCTAACGAAATTCGTTACTTACCTTTGCTTGCCGAACCACTGTATTCAATGGGGGAACGACGAATCACAAAAAGAACGCGAAAAACATATATTGCCGAAAAGTTTTTACGCGAATGTTACCAATTTTTTGTTGTGGCTAATATCACGGCGAAGAAATTCGGTCGAACTCGGATCTTTCCGTAACGGATCGGTTCGGAAACACTGTACCGACTGGCAACGGTCTCTGTTCCTTTTCTCGAGATGTCGCTCGTGTCGTTAATTCACGCGTTTGGAGGAATATTCGAAATTCTCCCTACATAAATGTCAATCCAAAATTGTATATCGACGTCATTGCAGCGCACAAATTGCATTCCTAGATATAACATCAAAGGACGCGGTCTCCTGAAACAAAGATAGAACAGTTAAAATCATACATCGTAAAGTTTAAACTTTCCTCCCGGACGAGTCGTTGCTCTAAATTTGAACGAAACCGCTCGTAATATTTTACGATAGAGATAAAAAAACGTTTCGGTACTAGCACCATCGGTCGTTACTCTGTCCCATCGTTATAAACTCCGTGCAAGGATCTCGCATCTACCATCGATAATATCCTCTCTCACTTTGTTACTGCTAATTGCGCAATCTCACGCAAGCAATTGGACAGATATCAGCATGCGCTAACTGACAAATCAAATGTACCCGCTATTACATAGAAATCGGTTCCGATCGAGTGACCAACGATGACGGTAACGATAATCGTCGGGTTGCTCGTGTCCCGCGAAACAAATCGCGCGTTCTCCGTGCGTACAATTCCCCTTCGATCGGGACGGCACGCGCGCGTACAACCGAAAGACAAAAGGAACGGGACGGAGGGACGAAAATCGCACGGAAAATCTGTCGGTTTCCATGGAAAAACCGTGCGTCGAAAGAACAGCGGATTCGTGTATAAGTTCTTATAAATAGAACCGAGAAAGGCGAGCACCGGAAAAGTTTTCCTGTCGCGCGATGCCGCGACGACGGGACGACAGCATGTCAGTCCGTGAGACGAACAAAGAAAGATTTCGCCCAGTGGAGAGGGCAAGAGAGACAGAGCGGGAGGGCGGGAAGATAGAAAGGAGAGGAAGAGAGAAAGAAGGAGCGATGGGATCAGCGTGGAGTGGGAGAGGGCGCGAGGGAGAGCGAGAGAGCGCGAGGGAGAGCGGGTGAGCGAGAAAGATAGGCGATAGAGTGGACGCGCGCGGTATCCACGCTCTTAGCGCGGATCGCGGGAAGAGGAAAGAGGAGTGGAGAGCGGCTGAGAGGGAAGCGCGCGAGCGCAAGCGCAATGAGGCATGCAGTTGCTCTCGACGCACGCCACATTGAAAGCTTGCGACATGCCGCAAAGCCGCTCAGTCGTGCGTCAGCTCTCGTGCGGGTGGTATCGTTTTCTCGTTTTCTCAGCATTCCCTGTGGTGTATATCGTAACCGCGAGCACGAAAAAGCCCGCGTAGGCGTGGTGAACGCGTTGGCGCATACGAACCACGCGGTTTTAACCGAAGAAGAAGCAATCGTGCCCTGCTAAGGCGAGCGAACATTAGCGGTGCGCGTCTTCGTCGTCCTCGAAAATTGGAATAGTCGAGGGTCACGTTTTGGTACTTGGACCAGTGTCAGATCTCGGCTCGTCTGCACGGGAAAATTCCCTGCTTGCCGTTCGAGGTCGTTCTCGTGGTAAAGTTTCACAGCGATACACGTTTGGCCTGTCTTGGTTTCCCGTCGTGGACAACGGGCGTTTGTCGGCGGAGTTGTCGTAGTCGGGAGTAGGACTATAGCGCGAGAAAATAAAAACAGAGAAAAAGAGAGAGAGAGAGAGAGAGAGAGAGAGAGAGAGAGAGAGAAAGAGAAAGAGAGAGAGAGCCAGAGAGACAGAGACAAACAGACAGAGAGAGAGGATCGATTTGACGGAGAATCGGAGATATCTTCGATCGGGTATAAAAGACGGTGATAATAGGATTGCGGAAAGATATATCGTATCTGTGATGTGCGAGTGAGCAATGGAATCACCAGTCATGTACGATTCAGCGGCCCATCAGGCCCAGGCCCACGGTGCGGCCGACCTCAAGAAGACCCAGGTACTGAACAACAACAACAACCACCAGGGCAACAACAACAACAACAGCAACACGGCGAACAACAACAACTCGGCCCTACAGGTGAATCACAATCACAGCCAGCAGCAGAGCAGCTCGGTGGTGAGCAAGGTCTCAGCGAGCAAGGCTAGCCTTCACCAACAATACGCGGAACACTGCGCGGCGGCCGGTGAGCTGACAGACCTGAACACACCGGAGATATCGTTAGATCTGCAACACCTGATCGACGACAGCCACTTCAACGACGGCCTGCTAGATATGCTAGGCGCGAACAACGGTGCGGTGAAACATGTGAGAACGCCGGGTTATCCGCGTACCACGCTCGCCTACATGCCGCAACCCGTGCACAGCGGCGCAAGTTATCACCAGGGCAGCAACAGCTGTAGCGATAGCAACAGCTCGAGCTCCGAATCGCCTAGCATCAAAGAAGAACCGCTCGACCCGGCGGACTATCGTCGTCACTGCCCGCAATATCCACCGGGTGGATACAGTCCGGTGACAAACGGACCGTTCGCCAATGGAGCACCAACCTTCACCACTCTGACCCCGTCCACGGTGCCCGGTGGCCACCCCGGCGCACCGGTCCATCAACCACCACCTCGAGGCGGACCGATGAAACCGGTGATGGCGCATCAACATCACGCCAACACTGCCGCTGCTGTTGCCAGGAAACAGACCAAGGCCATCGACAAAGCTAGCGACGAGTACAGAAGACGACGCGAGAGGAACAACATCGCGGTGAGGAAAAGTCGCGAGAAGGCGAAGGTACGATCGAGAGAGACGGAGGAGAAGGTGAAGCTGCTGGTGAAGGACAACGACCTGCTGAAAAAGAGGATCGAACTGCTGACGGAGGAACTGAACGTTCTCAGGTCTCTGTTCAGCAGCGTCGGCGTGGTACCGGAACAGCTGCACCGCGAGATCTCCAGGCACCTCGATCAGTTCCAGCAACACGCGGTGGGACCCATGTAGCGCACGACGACGTCATCGTCGTCGAGCACCACGGTGGCATCGCGCCGCCTCTATTACGCCTTTCTCTCGTCCATCGGCATCGACCTTCGTCCCTTGCCTTTCAGGCCGATACCATTGCGAAAGAGAGTCATTTCGAAGCGACTTCCGCTTTCCGGCCGGCCAGCCGATCGTTGTCGCGCTCGATCCTTTCGCGCCCGCGTCATCCGGCTGGTAAAAGCAAAGGAAAACGGCGTTCCGGATCGAACGCCGCGGACGTTGCTGCGTCTTTTGTCTCGTTTCCCGGAGTGGAGGACGCGAGGTGCACGTGCGTTCGTTGGAGAGAAACGGCACGCAGCAGCAGCAGCAGCAACAGCTCGCGGGCAGAAGAGAAGACGCGGTGGGAATGGAAAACCGAGAGAAAGATAGAGAGGGGAAGGGAGGAGGGCAGGAACGACGAAGAGAATAAAAGAAGGAGGGAGAGGCGTGACTCGTTGGAAGAAGAGACGCTCGTCGGTTTCCCCGGGGAGAGCTTTCCGGCAGCTGGAACTTACGTCGACGCGACTTCACGCGACTCGACGCGTGCAAGAAAAGTGCCTCCGCTCATTGGCGAACTTTTTTTACACCGAGTGCATCGGACACTTTCCCATTCGTCTGTACGCGACACGCAACGAAACGAAGAAAAAAGATTTAGAAAAACGAAAAAAAAAAAAGAGAGCGAACAGAAGATGCGAGGAAATGATTTTCGAGGCTCTCGCGTGGCCGCCGTGTCCGCATAGGTCCCCCATATGTCCTCCCCTCTGCGCTGGGACCTATCCGGGGTTACGCGGGAGATAGATGAAAATTGACCGGGACGAACGATCGATTCGTTCGGTCTTCTTTGTTTCTTTTCTTTTTTCCTCCTTTCGTATCTATCTTCTATCTTTTCCTTTCTTTTTTTTCTTTTGTTTCTTCTTTTTTTTCTGCTTTCTTTCTCAAAGTACGTAAGACTGGGTGGTGGTTACCGCGTGTCTCGCGGGTTCGCCACCTCATTCGATCGCGTAATTCGCAACACGGAGACACGTTGCGATTCTGAACGGATCGCGCATCGATGTTGCACAGGCGCATCGATCACACTCTCGCATACGTAACGCTCACACACGCGCGAGAGAACACTTGCATTCGTTGCAGCGCGGTACTTGCATGTACACGTGTACCAACACGTGCGCGCCTATATTTCAATTCGTACGCATGCAAATTCGATTCTCTCGACATTACACATTTTTGATGCACCTTCCACTGATCTTACATACGCGTTCGAAGGAAAACGTACACGCGTATATACGTACATACATGCATACACACATACGCAAACGCGCGCGCGACGCATAAGAAACGTACAATGGTTACACGCATAGCGACGATGCGATGGACGCGGTGCATCCGTGCACCGCGTTGCGTTCAGATTTTTAGATATCGACCGATCAAATTAGATTATCGTTCTCATTACCAAGTACCTAAAAAAAGGCATACCGAGATACCGTAATTCGCGATCAGTACCGATGCGACAACCACGTCAATGCTACACCTTCTCGATTCGTGCATCGTATTCTTCTCGACGGGGTGAAACCACGCGACCATCCCCCCACCCCTCCGTAACAAAAAAAAAAAAAAAAAAAAACACAGAGAAAAAAAGAAAAGCACTCTTATCACACGCCCTTGTATTATAGTTCTATATTTTAATTTTATTATATTCGAGATGTATGTACATAAAAAAAAGCTAATATATTTTGTTAGAGAAACGAAACGAAGCGGACTCGTGTTTTTTGTGAGAGAGCGAGAGAGAAAGGGAGGGAGAGAAACGGAGCGTGAAAGAGCGAAAGAGCAGCGGTGAAGATGAAAAATATTAAAAAAATGTCGAATGTGTGCGAGCATGTGTCGAACGAACCGATCGTTAGAGCTATACGTTTTAATGTAAACGATGAATTAGATTGCGGCGAAAGAGAGAGAGAGAGAAAGAGGGGGGAAGCGAGGAGAGATAGATAATTCGCCGACGTTACCTGGGATTCGGTCCAACCGAGTCCCTTCTACCTTGAGTTACCGTAAAAATCGCGTGAAGCGGGCTTCATTCTACTTCTGTTTTTATTATTATTTTTTTTTCTTTTCATCTTCTTCGTTCGTAGATTCAATCGCGTGCGAGAGAACGATACTTGTTATTACCTTATATACGTACTTGTGCGACAAGTCTAACGTTTCTTCTTTACTTTATTTTATTTTTATTTTATTTTTTCTCTTCCTTTTTTTTCTAAGACGTTTATCGGGTCTCTCGGTGATGCACGACTCAACAAACGTGTGTACGCGTACATCACCTGCGCGTGTATGTCCGCGCGCATCACGCATGTCCGCACACGAGCGTGCATGTGCATGTGCACGCGTTCCTTGGCGTATGACTGATGTATGTTAGGTACGAGATTACCTGTCACGGTTGTCTTCTTGTCTATGCACAAATATATTTTGATATAAAAGCTACGGCATTCTTTCCTCACCCCCGACCGACTTATTGCACCTACTTCCAATAAAACCGAAACAAACAACGGTCATCGTGCGAGAATCCGATTTTGAGAATCCCTTTATCTCTAGACGAGGCGCAGATAACACGGAATATCAATTAATACGAAATCATTGAGTCATTCATAGTTGCTCCCATATTACTCATAACTGTGCAAATTCGCGTCGAAGCTTGCACAAAGAAAGAAAGTCGCGGACAGGAAATTCGCTTATCGCGATCGGAAAATAAACCGATTTATCGGGCATACATTCCCCTTTTGCTTTTCCTCGCGAAAAGAATCCTCGGATCGCCGTGATGAGGCATGTTTTAAACGCGGATTCCCGCACCGGAAGCACGATGAGTCGCGAGAAGCAACTCCGGAGGAACGCAGAGACGTATACCGAAGCGTTCGTGTCCGAAAAGCGGAAAATTTACTCGCCGCGCGGAGAACCACGATAAAACTGTCGGCCATTAATCCGGCAGTAAAAATCGAGCGTGTCGCGTACGTAGACGACGGGTTCGCGAGCGAAAAGCGATCGGCCCTCTCGACCGCGCGAATCCGCCGTTGAATGAGTCACGAGATAAGTTTGTTGTTAGTCAGATAAATAGATTAACACCATTGTGACGATCGTGGCGTTCTTTTTGCACTCTGGTAGAACAGGATACGAGCGTTCCGCGTGTTCGACGATCTCGAGGTTTGCACGTGTGAGCTCTACCTCTTGGTATTGCACGAGGAAGCGGACTCGCACGCATAGCGTATGCTCGGGCAAACGAGTTTTTCACGGGTAAGATACGCAAAAAGAATCACGAGACTAGATTTCCGCGTGTCTCTGCGTCTTTCCTGCTACCGTGGGTGATCGTTGCCTCGTTATCTTCGGCAACGGAATCTTTTCTAAATATTTTAATCAAACGCGTCCTCGCCGATACGCGATGCACATTAACCCTTTGACTATCACGCCGAAATCACGTGTTCCACTGAGAACGCCGCGGGAGTATTTTTATTATTCAGAGCACTGAAGAGCTCTGGTCACCAATAACGACCACCGTCATTGCGGTGTCACAGGAGAAACCGTGGCTGGTCATGTACGACCAACGTGGCAGTCAAAGTGTCAACGAAGAGGATAAGCTACGAGACGAACAGAGCCCGTGCCATGAAACAGTTTAACCACGTGGCTTGCAATCGATCAACAGGTTTCCCGACTCGTGCTTCACCCTGTTGAGTTTCGTTCGATCCACGATGATCCTGGCTGATCCTGCGGAAATACAGAATGATTTAGTGCTCGTACGAGGCGCGACTAAATGGTCGCTATTAGCAATTCAACGGTGCACGGAGAAGTTCTTACCTCGGATAATTAGGTATGCGAATGCATTCGTCTTGCGCGACACTGATGGATCACCATCGCGTTACCCTGTTTACTTTTCGATAACAATCGCAGTGCGACACTCGGAAAACGCGTTGCGAGTATCGAGACTGCCGAGGAACCTTAGAACTCGAGACTCGAAAGGTGTAAAAGCTTCGGCTGGTTTGGCACCGCGTCCTGGTCCAGCGTTAAGAGGGTAACATAATTAGTCGATAGCTTGCGTCAACTCGTCCCAGGAACCAACACCGTGGTCTAAATATACCCAAATACGACCGTCGCGAGGAACCTGTACACAAGGAAGCTTTTCGGGACAGTCGAACGTGCCTCTTTCTAGAACAAATACTCCACTTGGGCCCACGAAGCGACGCGATCGAAGGTGTTTGAACAACAGACACCGTCTGTTCGTTCCACCAATCGTCGACCTAACGGGGCGAGACTCCGTTGCTTTCGTGACGCCCAGGTAACGTTGACACACCTGTCGCGGACTAGCCGATACTTTAATTATCCTAAGCGTTACGTAATCGCGAAGCTGATGCACCGAGTCGCGATCCCACCGTCTAACGCGTCGCTGCGAGCACTCTGGCCCGAGGAATCGATCATCCTCGGGAAATAAGCGAAATTAACGACGCGTTTCCGCCTCGCGTTAACGACGATCGGAAGGTCGCCGAGGTGCGTGAGGCTGCGCGCCGTGCTAAAAGTATGACATAATGCAGCGAGTTTTGACGCCGAGATGTCTACGTGCACATGTCGCGGTCGTCGCTAGTTTTAGACACGAGCACTGCCAACGCTAGCTACTCCAAGCGTGGATTTCGTGGGAACGGTTAACACGATTTCGCTATTCCACCGATTGGACACCGAGCTGGCATGCCAGGCATTCGCTTTGAAGGTACCAGGATGACATTCCAAAGTGACATTCTGACGCTCTCGAGGGCGGTCAACTACTCGAATAAATGACCCCAGGGCGAATGACGAGGTGACGAATTATACGATTTACACATTCTGCAATGTTTTACCAAAATTTTCAGTACAATGTATACCAGTATACATACATGGTACGGTATACCACGTGGAATGTTTTTTGGTATGTTATATATCGACGTAAAACGAGCATTTTTGGGTTAGTCGAGAAGTTATGTCGATATTTTTAGCATAAAATGGCGCTAATTTGCTTCTGAGCAGAAAAAACGACCTATAATTTTCCTCATCTTCGGGCCACTTGCTAATTCTGATTATCACGCGATTATATTCGATAGACTAGGGTACTGCTCCGCGCTGAAGAAGGAACGCTATCTGTCACAAAAATCGAATTTAAATATAGATATTTTCGTATTACGTATTATATACGAGTTATGTACCTTCGTGTACGATATTAGTATTAATATTTTCACGAAGGATATCGCACACGCGTGACCTTTGTATTCGTGGTCGCTCACACGATATCGACTATCGTAAAAAGCACTTCCTCTATAGCAACTATTAGCACTGCTGTTACACAAACGATCCTACACTTTAATTACTAGTAAATATTTTTATTAACCCACGACACTAACAAAATTACTATAATCAGTATCGAATATCGAGCTCAAAACAATTTCGAAATTTTCGTGCTATCTCTGTTTACGTTCCTTCTACGAAAATTTTTGAGTCGCCATCTTATTTTACTTTATTTTATACGTTTCGGTGTAATAATTAATACAAGGTAAACTGCAAGTACAAAGGGTTTTAGCGACCAAAGTCACGCGCGCTATGAAAATGTTAACGCTATACCGGTACATACTCGTACATGGTACTTTAACTTACGGTCCGAGACGTCGTCGAAAGGGCTTTTCTTTCGCCACGAGTCGCCGGGTTTTGACAATGTCGCCGTTATTAGCGACGCACTGGCAACGGTATTATTATCCACCCTCCTATTATTCGTTCGCTCTCTATTCTGGCTCCAACGGTATATGGGTTAGGGCCAGCTCTAGCAACACCGTTTCTCACCCACGCACCCGCGCCCGCGCCCGCTTCTTTTCCCTTGCTCAAAGAGGAACGCGTACTCTCGCATACAGGCGAGCGTATTCAAGCTCGGTCTCGGCCGCGACGCTCGCCTAAACGCGAGACTCGAGAGGAACGATCGCGAACGCGATTATGCTCCGAGGAATCGAACTGTCGCCGAGGGGAAGACGATTGGTAGCAACGGGATGCTGGATGGAGCGAAAAATTTGATGGATTCCCGTCGATATCGAGAGACCCTATTGTTCCAATAAAACGCATCGAGTACTATAAAAACGATCCCAAGATCTCGCTACGAGTCGAAATCGAAATGCTCTTAGGACCCTCAGGTAATTTATCGAGCATTCCACGCGCCTGTGAAAAGGAATATTAACCCTTTGCACTCGACGAATTTTTCGTTACAGAAAAATAGTAATTCGAAGACTTTCTGCCATTAGGTCGACCATATTTTTCAAACGGTAAATAAGACATCGTATGCAATTTAAGACGTAGAATTATTTTACTTCGATATTCCACGCATCGTTGGATAATTATAGATTTTTGAATGGCAACTGAGAGGCGCCTCTCGAGTGCAAAGGGTTAACCTCTTTGGGAATTCCGGAATCCTCGCGGGGACCTTATCTACTTTTAATTACCTATCGGCAGCGATCATGTTGACTATACGGGTTTTACGACGCTGTCGGCACGTACCGAAATCGGGCCCCTAATGGGACATAAAGATGGTCCCCGGGCACCGAGGCCAGATAAATCGGCCGCGTGGTGAATGGAGGAAACGGA